CTGTCAGTCTCCCTCGGACTGGGGCTCCATGCAAGATCTCACCTCGTGGGGTATCACTGATGATAAGAAAGGTAAAGAATCAGCTCAGAACTACAAGGGAGGAGCTGGTCAATGACATGAAGAGAGCTGGGACCACAGTTTCAAAGGTCAGTCGGTAGAACACTACGCCGTCATGGTTTCAAATCATGCATTGCACGGAAGGTTCCCCTGCTCAAGTCATCATATGTCCAGGCCCGTCTGAAGTTTGCCAATGACCATCTGGATGATCCAGAGGAGGCATAGGAGAAAGTCATGTGGGTCAGATGAGACCAAGGTAGAACTTTTTTGGTCTAAACTTCACTCGTCGTGTTTGGAGGAAAAAGGATGAGTTGAATCCCAAGAACACCATCCCTACTCTGAAGCATGGGGTGGTAACATCATGCTTTGGGGGTGCTTTTCTGTGAAGGGGACAGGACGACTGCACTGTATTAAGGAGAGGATGAATGGGGCCATTTATTGTGAGATGTTGAGCAACAACCTCCTTCACTCAGTCAGAGCATTGAAGAAGGGTCGTGGCTGGGTCTTCCAACATGACAACGACCCGAAGCACACAGCTAGGATAACCAAGGAGTGTCTCCGTAAGAAGCATATCAAGGTTCTGGAGTGGCCTAGCCAGTCTCCAGACCTAAATCCAATAGAACATCTTTGGAGGGAGCTGAAACTCCGTGTTGCTCAGCGACAGCCCCGAAACCTGACAGATCTAGAGGAGATCTGTGTGGAGGAGTGGGACCAAATCCCTGTTGCAGTGTGTGCAAACCTGGTCAAAAACTACAGGAAACGTTTTGACCCCTGTAATTGCAAACAAAGGCTTCTGTACCAAATATTAACACTGATTTTCTCAGGTGTTCAAATACTTATGTTCAGCAGTGCAAGACAAATAAATGCTTTAAAAATCATACAATGTGATTTCCTGAATTTTTTTTTTAATTCTGTCTCTCAGAGTGGGAATGCACCTACAATGTGAACTTCAGACCCACTCCATGATTTCTAAGTGGGAGAACTTGCAAAATCGCAGGGTGTTCAAATACTTCTGTTCTTCACTGTGTATATACACACACACACAAATCCAGAGGCGTAGCTAGGGGGGGGGGGGGGGGGGCGGCAGGGGGGTACATATGTACCCGGGCGCCAAGGTACAGGGGTGCTAAAATGAGGCTTACAACCAGGGGCGTATTTCCCAATGGAAGGGAAACTTAGTACAGGAGTGGGCTGCTGTGTCTTACCTGGCTCCGTGTCCCAGTCCCACGATGATGCAGTCCAGGAGGCACTGCTGGAGGAGGGGTAGAGAGGTCCGCAGGTCCGGTGTCTTCTTTTCCCTGGACGCGATGTGTGGGCGAGATGACATGCCGCCCCTGTCATCTGGCCACACCCTCGGGATCACTGAACAGCCTATGGCAGCTTGTACCTCCCTCTGCAAGCTCCGCCTCCTCACCGGTGATTCAGCGCCAGAACTGTAGCTCAGGAAAGGCACACAGGCGGCCAATCACCTGCGAGGAGGCGGAGCTTGGAGAGGATGAGCCGAGCGGCAGTGCAAATATCAAGTGAGGGAGCGGCCGAAGCAAGTGAAGAAGGGAGAGGGAAGGAGCCTAGGCTGGAGCAGGGGCCAGCAAGGTAAGTGAAATTGGTGTCAGTGGGAGGAATAGTGCCCCATCATTGGTGTCACTGATGCGATTAAACAGGGAGGGGGGCTGAGGCGCCAATTTTATAGTTTCACCCCCGGGCACAAAATATCCTAGCTACGTCTCTGCACCCATCCCCCACGATCAGCCCCAACTTTATGACCACTCACTGAATATTGAGTAGGTCCTTGTTTTCTGCCAAAACAGCTCTGACCTGTTGATGCATGGATGTCACTAGATCTGTGATATGCTGTGTGATCTGGCACCAAGCCTTCAGGGGACTCTGTACTATCAGCAGATGGACTGGGGACTGTGGAAGAATGGGAGGATCAGAGAAAATAGAATCAAACATCATTTTTACAGAATGCAGAGGATTAACCCCTTAGGTTCCATAGTGAGTATGACAAGCATGCTTTACTGCATATAGTCTGATTTTACTGTTGTGGGTTTAGTAACACTTTAAGTGATTATATTTGGGAGCAGAAAGTTTCAGTTGTTTTATACTCATTTATTCACTTATCCATTACTTGATCCACTTAATATAAATGTATTTTCTTATACCATGTTTGATTAATTTGAAGGCACATAAAGGGACAGCTACAATTTAAAGGAAGAGATCAGCATGGTTCTTTCATTAACCCCATTTATATAAAGGATGTGTGCTTATTCCTTTCCTCAGCCGAGGAACTATCTCTGAAATGTGTTTAAAAAAAAAACTGCATCTTTGATCAGCATAACAGTGGGGTGGAGAGACTATTGAGGTAAGGAAGAGAAAGGTCAGATGAGAGGTGTGTGCTCCCATAACATGTGGGCTCATTACTCCACTCAAGCTGGCCAAAATCATGGGGTCCACAGCAACCGTTCCAAGTCAGGATATCTTTCCTTACATGCCCGTTTTACAAATATTTTATACTGCATCACTGTTAATTTGCTCAGTTATGCTTGTGAACTCTTCTTTGATACTTTATAGTCTAAATAAGGCGCCTTCCTATCCTCCATAAGAACTGCAAGGCGGGATCATCAGGCATCTCTTCATGCATAAACATGTTGAAAATGTTATTCATACTGGTAATGGCTTTTTCTAGTAGATTGGTGTTACTGAAAAAGTTTGTTGTATACTTTCTTCTGCAGTACAAAGTTTCAGATTCATTATTGCTATAGCTCCTATCTTATGTGCAGATTAATGCCATTAGTATCTTATTTTTGATTAAGCGCCATACTGAATCTGTTTGCAACTTAGAAAAAAACTCCGTACTGAAAGTGATCTAAAATATGAACCTACCTCCAATTATTTTACTTTTCTTTATAAAGGTGGAGTTAACATATGCATTCAGGGCAGCACATTAATGTCAATGGGCTGCCCTACCCATAGGAATAGAAGTTCCGGATCCTTTTTTTTTTTTTTTTTAATTTAAATAACCTGTTCTTTGAAGTTGAGCTTTTAGCCCTCTATTCTTATAAAGTACGCTACAGTATACATGTGGCAACACTGGGGGGAAAAAAAAAAAAAAAAAAAAGAATTGGGGACTTTTTCCCATAGGTTAGTCTTTAAAGCAGCATAGCTGAAGAAATTATGTCCATCCTCCTAGGACACTAGCAAACAAAAAGGCAGGCTAGTAGTAGCGGTAACCCAGGGCAGGCCAAATCTTCTGTGTCTCTCAGTAAGCAAAGGCACAGAAAATTTTTAAGAAGTTCTAACCCTTCCTCAGTCTATATGTCTTTGTCATCACTTCAATGGGGACAAGGGCAGAGGCTTTTTTTTTTTGTTCTATCAAAAACAAAAGTCCAACATTTTAATATTTAAAGGAACATACATCTGAATTAAACTGTATTTGCCAAGGGTTTTGCTGTCAGAACCATTTTTTTCCATTTTGCACACACCAATACACATAAAAATGTACTTAAAGGAGAAGTACAGCCAAAGCTCATTTATTTAGCTGTACTTCTGTGGATCACAAGAGTACAATTTGTTCTGTACTCCTAAGAACTGTTTTCAGCTGACAGCGCGTTAAAGACAGCTGTCATCACTCAGCTGGTCCACGCTGGGAAAAGATCCCGGCCATATGGTCGGGATCCATCCGAAAGCCTGGACCAGCACCTGGCTCAGCCTTCTCAGGGAGCTGCTGAGAGCCTGAGCCAGCCGCTCCCACCCCCTGCACAGCCCAGTGCTCCCGTGAGTGCTGGAAGTGGGGGGGCAGAGCAGACAGCGGTGGCTGACCGTCACCAACTCTCTGCTCAGAGCGCCAGGGAGGACTGAGCGATCAGCGGTGTCAGATTGCTCAGTTCTCATCCTTAGAGCTGGCAGGGGACAGTGGCAGCATCCACCTAAGTATGATTTAAAAAAAACATACTTCTCTTTTAAAATCCCAAAACATGATTTATTTTTTTGAAAGCAGAGACACTTTAGAATGAAGTGGTGGCAGTTGCAATTTTTATGTCACATATTTGTGCTACTGTTTATCAAATCTATATTTTCAACAAAAATGCACTCAAAATTCATTTCAGGGCACACAAAATATAATACCTAACTTTATGGTAAAATATAAAAGATGAGGCTGTATCAGGAGTTAAAAGATAACAGGTATGTCAAGACTCAAAATTCCACCTACCTGAGGACGGTAAAACTATGGTATCCCATATCATGCATAGGTAATTTGTTAAAAGCTTTTACAGCTCATCATTTTAAATACACTGTGAATGATGGCCCTAGAATTACTGCTCTCACTACAGAGTGTACAGCCATGCCTAAAGTGTGTGTGGTGTAATTGTATGCCTGAGCACCCAACATGCAAGGTTGCGCCATTTTTTTTTCTGTTGCATGGATGGGGGAGTCTTTGGAATTTTTTTTTATTTGAGGGGGGGGGGATTATTTTATTAAACTTCACATTTTATTATTTTTTTTAAACTTTGTTATTTATGGGGCTGACAAGGTGCTAGGTCCTCTTTAAGGAGACACCAGTGTGGCTGAGGTTTCATAGCCTTGAACTTGAAAGTGCTCAGGGCCAAGCACTTGTGGGTTATCAACAACATATGGCTTCTGACTGCCCGCCTGACACCCGTCATGGAGGTCTTGGGTATGAATAGACTAGCCTGGTACACATGGCAAGCACCTTCCTAACAGTATAGAAGTGTTCAGGCCATCTTTTGGGTAGCTGTCAATACTATAGACCGTCACTTCGTCCATGCACGATCCACCTAAACATTTAGAAGCTCCTGGCAGTGGTAACTGGAAATAATGTTTGAGGATAGGCAAATTTCAAGTGCTCAGGAGATCTGTACATTTATGGCAGGCCTAGATTGAATTTTTGATGGCACAACTGATTTTCTAGTGACAGCTTCAATTTAAACACTGGTCAACGAAATTGAAACATTAAGGAAGGGTTGACAAATAATAATTTGCCATATATATTCAGTCTTGTCAGTGTATGAGCAGAGAGCATGCTTGACACTACCATGACCACTAATCTTTTCAAGGTTGGGTGTGTCTTCTGTAACTATGAGATGTTTTTCCCTGTATGGCCTAAAGAAAGCACCTCTCCTTAAAAATGAGAAGTTTTTTTTTTTTTTTTTTTGAGTAATCGCCCACACAAACCACAGTAGTCCAGTAACATTCCACAGAAAAACAGTGAGCTGAGCCCATTTTCTGGTTGAAATGGTGGGCGAAAGGCCATGGCATAGTATGTCCTTACATCTAGAATGAGTAATGTCCTCACACACACTGATAGTGCGAAATACATTGAAACCAGACAGCGCTGTGCTGATGACTATGCCTGGGCACTGTGGATGCCAGTGTAACTCTTTAATGTCTTTTTCTCCCTGGTGAACAAACAACAGTTGTGGTGGAATTGAGGCCAAAGCAGGATCTTCAGTTTCTCCTTCCTGATCCTGATCTCGTTCCACAGCAAGATCCCACTGAGTGATCTGGTCATCAGCGCCAGCTGCAGCAAATACACCACTGTCAGTAGGGTGCCACTCGACTGATGTGATAGGCGCAGTGTGTTGTTTGAACTTTGCCACACTGACTCCTTTCTGTAAATAAACAGCAAAAATGAAAGTTCACATTGTGACATCAAAAATCCTAATGAGAAAGCTTTCATACATACATAATATTTATATATATAAAAAAGTGAGCTCAAACCAAGTATGGCAAGCTTTGATACTAATTTCAGTAGACTTCCGTCAAAGGTAGTAATTTAGTCAACAGTAAGTAGACTCACACATGTCTTAGACAAAAACGCATGAGCTATATATATTATTTATCGAAACACCTGCCTTTACACATGAACTTTAATGGCATCCCAGTCTTAGCCCGTAAGGTTCAATATTGAGTTGGCCCACCCTTTGCAGCTATAACAGCTTCAACTCTTCTTGGAAGGCTGTCCACAAGGTTTAGGAGTGTCTTCCAGAAGCGCATTTGTGAGGTCAAGCACTGACGTTGGACGAGAAGGCCTGGCTCACAATCTCCGCTCTAATTCATCCCAAAGGTGTTCTATCGGGTTGAAGTCAGGATTCTCTGCAGGCCAGTCAAGTTCCTCCACCCCAAACTCACTCATCCATGTCTTTATGGACCTTGCTTTGTGCACTGGTGTGCAGTCATGTTAGAACAGGAAGCGGCCATCCTCAAATTGTTCCCAAAAGTTTGGAGCATGAAATTGTCCAAAATGTCTTGGTTGACACCCCAAGAGCTTCCTTCACTGTAACTAAGGGGCCAAGCCCAACCACTGAAAAACAAACCCACACCATAATCCCACCTTCAAACTTTACACTTGGCACAATGCAGTCAGGCAAATACCGTTCTCCTGGCAAGCACCAAACCCAGACATGTCCATCAGTTTACCAGACAGAGAAGCGTGATTCGTCACTCCAGAGAACACATCTCACTGCTCTAGAGTCCAGTGGCATCATGCTTTACACCACTGCATCCGACACTTTGCATTGCACTTGGTGATGTAAATGCAGCTGCTTGGCCATGGAAACCCATTCTATGATGCTCTCTATGCAAAGTTTGGAGGTCTTTAGCTATTGACTCTGCAGACAGTTGGCGACTGCTGCGTACACTGATCCCGCTCTGTCACTTTATGTGGTCTATCACTTCTTCATGGCTGACTTGCTGTTTCCACTTTTTGTTGACCGTGGAATATTTAGGAGCAAGGAAATTTCATGGATGGACTTATTGCACAGGTGACAACCTATCACGGTACCATGCTTAAATTCACTGAGCTCCTGAGAGCGACCCATTCTTTCACAAATGTTTGTAGTAGAAGCAGTCTGCATGCCTAGGTGCTTGATTTTATACACGTGGCCATGGAGGTGATTGGAACACCCAAAATCCAATGCTTTGGAGGGGTGTCCCATTACTTTTGGCAATATAGTGCATGTATATTTATATTAAAAAAAAAAAAAGGGGGGGTGAGGGGAAGAGTTGATCTTTTTCTGTTGTCATTCTTTTATGTTTCTATGATACCCTGAGAAGCTAAAGGTTTTAAAGAAATGAGTAAAGGCTGCAGCTGCACAATGGGATTGCTTGGCTCTAAAGAAGAGAACCCCCCTGCAGAAAAGTAATAAAAATATATTGCTGCTACTACCCTTAATGGGGGCGACTACAACCTGTCCTCATCTTCCTGCATGCTCTTACATTGTCAGCATGTCATCCAGGCTTCAGATGGAGACTATAGGTAGCTGTATTAACACAAATTACCCAAGGAGTTACTTTAAAACCAAACTCCAGACAGACCTGGTCATTGCGACAGAAGGCACAGACAGGGGAAAAAAAATGATGGTGGTTCCAAAAACCTTCCTCATTTTACTGACAAAATAAAAAGGGGTTTTTGTTGCAGTCTGACATAAAATGCAGATGAAACTGAAAGGGGTTCTAACTGTTTACACCTGTATTCAAAAATTAAAAGTGGTTAGAGCTGGGCTTTAACAATATCTCTGGCATCCCCTTCCAGGGCTCAAGTCCTTGTAAATGCTATACTGGTGACAGAGGGAAGATTTCCTCATCTGTACTTCTGAGAACTGTAATAACTTAGCCCACAAAGTTTGAAGAAGTTATTTCTAAAAAATCGAACTGCAAATGCAGAGCCCTAGTTTATTAATGAATGGAGAAATTATACAAAACAGCAATAATACCCACTTGAAACTGCCGCAAGTCCCAGATTTTTAGGACACCGTCATCTCCTCCACTGACAATAAAAGGCTCATTTTGGTTCCAGCTGATGACATTCACATCACTATCGTGAGCCTGGGTAGCTGTCAGCATACATGCCTTGTTGGGAGCTGCTCGAATATCCCAAACACGAACTGATGCATCAGCTGAGCAGGAAGCAAAAACCTGGAAAAAAAAAAATTGCAACCTGAATGCAAGAGAATGTCTATATGGCATGCTTTTACACACAAACTTTAAAAATATACTATTGTTTTTCCTGCTGAAGTCAAACTTGGTCCTGGCCTTCTCATCTACCAACTCTTGCTATTGTTCAGTGACATTAATACCCTTAATATCAACAAAAGCTTCCCATATGTGCATTTAAAAAGGTATTTAGGCATGTTATATACCTGCAAAAGCCTCCCTTGTGTGGGCATTCAAATACCTTGAGATTTCTACTGGGTGCCACAATCTTGGATGTGATATTAGCAGCCCCAGCGGACTCAGAGCCGTCATTCAATTGACACTATAGTATTCCCTGTGCTCCTCCCTCAACTGCAATTTTTTTTATATATAGGCAGGTGAAGAGTGGGGCAGAGGAGCTGAGCCAAAGCAGAGAGCAATTATACCCTCCAAGAAGAGGATGGAGCTATGATATGCAAGAAGTTAAAGAGTTGTGCTAGAGAGCCAACTCTTTCAGGAAGTCAGATTTATTAGCATGTTCAAAAGGGCACATTACAACTAAATTAGTAATCATTTATAGAAAGAAACAGCACAGCAAGTAAGCATATAAAACGCTTGATTTTTCTGTGCTTTTACTTATATCTTTTTAAACTGGTGACTGGCTCTCTTTAAAAATCAAAAAAGGAGGCTTGGGAAAAGGGACTGGGCTAAGCTCAACATTCACAGGATCAGTGAAAAACATCAAATCCTAACACTAAAGCAATCCTTAATACCTAATCCTCCTAATTCTGAACCCTTAACCTTACCTGTAAAAATTAAATTATTAACTCTTAACCACCTCCCCCCCAACAATTAATCCTCACCATGCCACTTAACCTAGTCCCTTTAATATGCCTTAATGTAGCTGTAAAGGCAAAAGGTTAGTTTTACCATAATGTATAGTCTGCACGATGGTAAAAAAAAAAAAAAACTTTTAAGTGCAGCTTCCTCCACAGCCCCCCTAAATACTCACCCGAGTCCCATCTCGATCCAGCATTGCGTATGTGTGCAGCAGCTCTTCTCCCCGGTCATTGGCTCCTGCTGCTGTTAGTCAAAACCAGTCAGCTAGAGCGTGGCCGGGGCTGGGCTGTGTGTCTGAACAGGCACAAACAGCCCGGCTCGGGAGCAAGCCTGCATAAGTGGCTTCCTAAGACAGGCACTCAGCGAAGAGGAGGAGCTACCAGCACTGGCAGGGGACCCCAGAATAGGAGAATTGAGGCTATGCAAAAACATTGCACAGAGCAGATAAGTATAACATGTTTGTAAAGCTTTCCTCTTTATTTTTTGCATTAAAATAATTAACTCAAAATGAGACCCCCTAAACTAACTATTAACCACTTGAGCCCCAGAGGATTTACCCCCCTTAATGACCAGGCCTTTTTTTGCTGTTTGGTGCTGCACTAATTCAAATGATAATTGCGCGGCGGTCATGCAATGCTATACCCAAACAAAATTTACGTCCTTTTTTTCGCACAAATAGAGCTTTCTTTTGGTGGTATTTGATCACCTGTGCGCTTTTTATTTTTTTTGCGCTATAAACAAAAAAAAACCACGAAAATTTTGAAAAAAAACAATATTTTCTACTTTCAGCTATAAAAAATATATCGTAAACTCAAAGTTAGTCATAAATTTAAGCCAAAATGTATTCTGCTACATGTTTTTGGTAAAAAAAAAATCCCAATAAGTGTATATTGATTGCTTTGTGTGAAAGTTATAGCGTCTACAAACTATGTATAGATGCTGTAATTTATGCCTTTTTTTGCTATACAGCGCTGCACTAATTCAAATGATAATTGCGCGGTCATGCAATGCTGCACCCAAACGAAATTTTACGTCCTTTTTTTCACACAAATAGAGCTTTCTTTTGGTGGTATTTGTTCACCTGTGCGCTTTTTATTTTTTGCGCTATAAACAAAAAAAACCACAAAAATTTTGAAAAAAAAAACAATATTTTCTACTTTCAGCTATAAAAAATATATTGTAAACTCAAAGTTAGTCATAAATTTAAGCCAAAATGTATTCTGCTACATGTTTTTGGTAAAAAAAATCCCGTGCATTAGCGGGCAAAACTGGCGCTATCTAGGAGGGGCGCTAACACTATCGGAAGTCACCAGTGACACTAATACAGTGATCAGTAAAAATCTGTTCACTGTAATCAATGACACTGGTGACAGGGCAGTGAAGGGGTTAACTGGGGGGGGGGGGGCGATCAAGGGGTTAAATGGGATTTCTGGTGCACTAGCGGGCAAACTGGCGCTATCTGGGAGGGGCGCTAACACTATCGGAAGTCGCCAGCGACACTGATACAGTGATCAGTAAAAATTGGTTCACTGATCAGTGACACTGGTGACAGGGCAGTGAAGGGGTTAACTGGAGGGGGGGGGGGGGTGATCAAGGGGTTAAACGGGATTACTGGTGTACTGGCGGGCAATCTGGCGCTATCTTGGAGGGGCGCTAACTCTATCGGAAGTCGCCAGCGACACTGATACAGTGATCAGTAAAAATCGGTTCACTGATCAGTGACAACTGGTTCACATGATCAGGACACTGGTGAAGGTGAATGGGTTAACTGGGGGGGGGGGGGGGGGGAGATTAAGGGGTTAAATGGGATTACTGGTATGTACTAGCGGGCAATCTGGCGCTATCTGGGAGGGGCGCTAACACTATCGGAAGTCGCCAGCGACACTGATACAGTGATCAGTAAAAATTGGTTCACTGATCAGTGACACTGGTGACAGGGCAGTGAAAGGGGTTAACTGGGGGGGGGGGGGTGGGTGATCAAGGGGTTTAAACGGGATTACTGGTGTACTGGCGGGCAAACTGGCCCTATCTGGGAGGGGCGCTAACACTATCGGAAGTCGTCGCCAGCGACACTGATACAGTGATCAGTAAAAAATTGGTTCACTGATCATCAGGGTGACACTTCACTGTGGTGGTGACAGGGCAGTGCAGGGGTTAACTGGAGGGGGGGGGGGGGCGATCAAGGGGTTTAAACGGGATTACTGGTGTACTGGCGGGCAAAACTGGCGCTATCTAGGAGGGGCGCTAACTCTATCGGAAGTCGCCAGCGACACTGATACAGTGATCAGTAAAAATTGGTTCACTGATCAGTGACACTGGGTGACAGGGCAGTGAAGGGGTTAACGGGGGGGGGGGGGGGGGCGGGCGGGGCGATATCAAGGGGTTAAACGGGATTACTGGTGTACTGGCGGGCAATCTGGCGCTATCTGGGGGAGGGGCAACTAAAGTCGCCAGCGATCGGAAGTCGCCACTGATCAGTACACATGATCAGTAAAAATCGCTTCACTGATCAGTAACACTGGTGACAGGGCAGTGAAGGGTTTAAACTGGAGGGGGCGTGGGGGGGCGATCAGGGGGTTAAAAATGTGTCCTAGAGTGTTCTAACTGTAGTGTAAGTGTAGTGCTTTGTTGTACTCACTTTTTTGGATGTTCTTCTTCTCTGTCTGGAACGGAATGTGTCCAGGCAGAGAAGAATGACACTATCATATCCTGCCCTGTGTGTATGTCAACACAGGACAGGATAGGACAGGGACCGATCATGTGATTTCAGCAAAAAATCACTGGCTGAAATCTAATGATTGATTGATCCCTCCTGGATCAAATAGTGTCACCCGCGGGGCTCGCCCCCTGCCGGCGAAAGTGTCGGGAGCGCGGAACCCGTTTTTAAACGTGGTTTTGATCCCACCTTTTGCGCTCCACTGCCGCCCTGCACACGTATATACACAGTGGCAGGGCGGCAAGCGGTTAAGCGGTTGTAAAAAAGCCACCCATAAGGTTAAACAATTCAGGCATTACAATGACTAGCTAATTAACACGTAAAGTAAAGAGCGGCAAGATTGTAACACTAGCATGTAAACCATGGTAGGCCATACAATGACTATTTTTCTTTCTTTCAACCATGGGTTGAAAGAAAAAGAAAATAGCTTGATTCCCCCATCAACACTTCATTTCAGTATTTTTGGAGAAATCCCCCCCGTGGGGCTATTGTAGTCTGACAAAAATAGAATGATCACTGCTTGTGGCTATAGACAGTAGTGACTGAATAAAAAACAAGAACCCCCCCCCCCCCCAAAAAAAGACAAGTTGGTTGTACTGAAGTCAATCGATAGATCATCTTCAGTAAAACCTGCCCATACATGGATAGTCATGTGCCAAGAGCAGTTACACCCAAGGCTTATAGTTCTGCAGTAAAAAGGTAACAGGGGCAAGGAGGGCTGCTGTGAATTTTATTATTTCAAGTCTGATCTTTGCTGGGTCTTTAGTGGGAAAATGGTGTATTTGCCATTGCTTTTGGTTCTGAAGGAACAAGTTCCAATGCTTTAGTACTCATCTTTCTTCCAGTACTTGGTAAACTACTGACCAGAAAGAAATATTAACGTTTCAAAGTTTCCTATACTTGGTTGACTATTTATCTATCCTAGATCAGTGACTCTAGTGGAAAAACATAGAGGCTACCAGCCTTGGAACCTGCACCCTCAAAAAACAAGTTGGTAATAGCAACACTCTTACTTCCTACCAGGTTCCCTGACTGAGCTGTTGGTGTCACCAGATGAAGTGTTTTCGTATATTGCTATGGATAACCAAGCAAAGAAAAATTAAACCACTGGACATTTCCCAGTACTTTTGCTGCCAACATCAGATTCCTGAACTGGTACTTCACAAGGCTCCCAGAACTAAGCAATTTAAAAATCTGCACTTACATTTAAATACAATATGCCCTGCATGAAAGTGCTTTTCTAAACACACACAACTTTCTATTACTGTAATATTCCCTAAAACGAACCCTTAGCACCTGGAGTATAACTAAAGGCAAAACGATTTCTTTTGTTTTGGATAGAGGGATTAGAACACCCGTCAGGTTTTTATTGCTATCTGTGTCCCAGTTAAGGAGATTTACGCTATTTGCAATTTTCACCATTATCATTGAAAGTACAAGAAAATCCCAGATTTTAGTTAGTATACAGAACAGTATTAGAGGGGAAATCTTCCTATGGGGTCACTAGTTCCTGTTTTGGCTGCAGGATAAGAAGCGAAGGGAAATCTCCCCAATGGGACACAAACAGAACACTTGACAGGGATTATAACCCTCCCTTGCTCCAAACAAAGTGAATAAAAAAATCCCACCCTAACCACTAAAGTGAGCACTGAACATTCTCCCTAACCATTTAACCATAAGCCTAACACCAACCTAAACTTACTAATAACACTAAAACTCTGTTCTGTGGTGTATTCCTTGCCCAAGGCACACAACAGTTTGAACTTCAGAAAAGACTGCTCTAAACATTTCTATGTCCTTCACTCATTAGTATATATTCAGCACAGGACTACAATGAAATCTCACCTGACACACGGGGGGAGATTTTACTAAGCTGGAGAGTGCAAAATCTGGTGCAACTCCGCATAGAAACCAATCAGCTTCCAGGTTTTAAGCTTAATTGAACAATCTGAAGTTAGAAGCTAATTGACTACCGTGTATAGCTGCACCAGTATTAGTAAATCTCCCCCACGATGACAAGACTTTAAAAGTAAAGCTTACATTGCCACAGTTGTGTTTAGGATTAGGTTAGATTTCCCCACCATGGTCCTGAGAGTGATAATGACCTAAGCAAGGGGATCAAACTTTTTTGGGTGCAGTTCTGCTAAAAGGCCACATTCACATCTGCATTTTGGCTTGACAGCATAAACCTGTGATAAACCCAGCTGGGGTCTTGGCGATTGCATACAAGAGGCAGCCCCACTGAAAGCAACGGGAGTTTCCCGGCTCCCGCAGCTGATTGCAGCCAATCACATGTAAACGCTATATGGAAAGTTGTGTAAAACACACTGAACTACAGAGTATTTCATTTACCGTGGCTTCATTAGGAGACCACTGAATATCTTCCACCGATTTCGTATGGCCAGTGAATGGTCTCTGGTCAACATGCCAAGTTCCTCCTTCTTTAGGGTTCCATAAATGGATGTTTTTGTTGCAATCACCAGTAAGCAACCTCCCTGAAGAAAGAAAAGTACATTTACCAAAAGGGAAAGTAGATGGTAACCATACTGAGATTGGCTGAGCTCTTGGGAAGGGGAGGAAGACAAATTGTACAGTTGATGCTATATAGTCTCCTAAAAGCATACAGAAAGAAATTAATGAGCGTAGCTAACGTATACATGTAAAGCTCTAACTGTAAACAGACTCTGATTTCAAAAAGCAGGACACTTCCAGGTGCCAGGTCAGCTGTCATGGTGGGCTCTGGAGACCACTGAGACAAAGCTGACCCTTCTTGCTACCCGGAGGTACATACTACTGAAAGACTTTGGTTGTTTAATGTGGTGGTTTGAGCGGCGTTCATGCTCATCTATACTGTTAAGTTTCTGGAGTAACTTGGGACACTGCCCCCATCTTCCTTTCTCTGCCAGCGGGGTGATTTTTGTCTGCTGTCGGCCTTGAGTGGCGCCAGAAGCATACCCTCTGGTTGTATACCAGATATGAAACCTTTCACTTACACACAATCTGCACTGCAACATTCCACCCTAATAGTAACAGCCAACAGGTGCCTCTATATGCATTTTGTCCCTCGGAGAACAGCACCCACATAAAAACAGGATGTATCCTGTACGGTCCAATAACAAAATGGCCCTCTCTATTTCCCGACAAGCAATGGAGAGGTTTTTCACCTGCTCAGCTTTACATCCTCCCACTCTGTCTACTGTCCTCCTCAGTGTTCTCTCCATCCCAGCTCTCCTTCACAGAAGAACAACCTTTATTTCCTGTCTGCAGTACTGGAGGGTACCTGCGCACAATCAGTTTTACATTCTCACTAGCAACGGTGTGCCTGTTCCCTGAACATGAAGAAATTCCACATTCCCCTGAAAATGTGTAGTGATATGAATGAACAACAAGTACAGAGCTCAGTGTTTTGATTTACTGTACCATTTAGCAGTATTGTATGTTTTAGATATGTGGTTAACAGAATGCAGATCACAGTAGTCCAGAGTATGTGAATTATACAGCACACAAAAATGTGAGTCAGGACTGTGACTTGAAGCAAAAATGAAGACATCGCAGTAATCTGCTATATGTAATATATAAAAATACTGTACACTATAAAAAGTATAGCAGTCTAAATTATGCAGCATAGAGCATACAGATTGCAATAGGAAGGAATATGTTCCTTACAGCTTGGTGTACAAACTGCATTGGCCTCAAGTGTCCCAAACTTTCCTTTCACTGCAGAATGCCAGGTGTAACTGTAAATACAATGTGAATGTGATATCAGATCAATAACCCCTTAAACCTACACTAATTCCAAATTGGAAAAAAACTTTCAACCCCTGAAAGCTTAAAATCAAATAAATTAGTCCAAAAGAGAATCTTCCCTCTTTTATCAAATAATCTACCTATATGTACAACAACAAGTTTCCCCATATAGTTCTATATGTGAACTAACAAAAAATCATAAAGTCCAGTGTCCCAATGATCAAAACTAAATCATAAAAGTCCAGTGTCTCGATAATCAAAATAGTAGAACCGAAAAAAAGGATGTGTATCTTGCGGCAAAGCTTAGACTCTTGTAGGTAATGTTGAAGGTTGCAGCCAAGCCCGATGATGGGCAACCTTACCAATTGACTGAAATGCACAGGAGGAAGAAAGAGTTTAGAAAGGATCGGAACTATAAGCATTGGATTAAGATTTTGACATGGCAAGGTTTGGGAGGCTGTTACTGGTACCTCTAAATGCCTGCACTTCATACTAGCAGCAATATGCATGGCGACTTGGTCTTTACATTATTATTTGTGCATGAGCAAGCATGTTCAAATGTGAACACACTTTTCTAGTTCTGGTGTAATAATATGCTGCATTTAAAAAGTAACCAGCAATGTGATATTAGATTTTTTTTTGCTTGCTGATAATTCATTTCAAGGTCTTCTTATACACTGCTCTAAGATGTATGCAGTTTTGACTAATAACAATAGGCACTATGCAAGAGGCTTAATGCTGACAAATTCATTTTCAAAACCGTAAACTGCCTGATGGTAGGAATTGTCTGTAAAGCACTTTAGTGAAGTCGCTCTTCCTTTTGTCCCTACCTGCTGTCTTTGGAGACCAATCCATGGCAAAGCCTTCAGTCATGTGACCAGAGAATGAGTAGACTGGTTTGATCTTGGCTTGTTCTTCCTTCAGAAATGTAGCCAAGGCCTGGGAGTCTGAAACAGCTGCCAACTGCTTCTGCAGATCATAGATTTCCACCATACCCTTCTCTGACCAAACTGCAGCTACAGGGGTATCCAGCAGTGTAGAGACCTGTGAAAGGAGCAACTATGGAATCAAGTGTGCCCAAAATCATTATGTGAAAGAATGTTTATTTTCATATCCTTTATTTAATCACATTCACTGAATACATGTGAGACCATATTTGTTGAGGTGTCTGTGACCTGGACAGAAAGTAGAGGGTCAAAGGTATCAATAAAAAAAAAAAAACTGACAGAGGTTCTATCCCTTACCCATTATACCCAAAAATGTTTTGCCGTGTGCTGAAGTCCCAATGAAAGTAAACGAGAGCAGCCCCAATTTACAAGCACATTGTAACTGTGTAAAACCAAACTGAATTTGGTTGAATGATACATTGATGACTAAGGCAGGCTATGGGTGGAAGGAAAGTAAAAATTGCAGGATTCCCCCATCAAGACAGTCAGTGGGGGAATTCTTCCTGCAGTGCTATTGTGTTCTGTCAGTAGGGAGCCTTCCCTGCCACTGCTGGCACAACACAATAATTATTGTTGAGGGCTACAGCACTAACTTTTTAGGAAAAACCCGACAGGCTGATTGTGCACAATTTGATTGATAGATCGATTTAGGAGTCAAAAAAAAAAAACAACTGCATAGATGCAACTTTCACATCACTGAAATGCAGACCTTGTATATAAAGTGGAAGAGAGGATAAGAGTATGTGCTGCCCAAAGCAATTGATTTTTTTCCATCATTTTCAAAGACAACTTGAAGATGAAAATAAAAATCTAATTACTTAGGGCAAATCATTTGGGATGACACAATTCTTCTTTTCTATAGTTTTTTTTAAAACCAAGACTATTTTGGTCAACAAACCACCTTCTAAAAAATGAGGATGCACCAATATATAGGCCGAAAAGAGCGTTATCGGCATTTTGCCGATAAAAAACTATGCCGCTACATGCAAAGTCGCGTCTCATAAACATTCATCCAAAAACACCCTCTAGTGAATTCAATACAAAATCGCGTCTCATAGACTTTCATGCAAAGTCACGTCTCATGGACAGTAAGATTGTAAAATACTTGTGAGCCACAAAATAAATACTAGTTGTACAGTGGGGCAAAAAAGTATTTAGTCAGCCACCAATTGTGCAAATTCTCCCGCCTAAAAAGATGAGCGAGGCCTGTAATTGGCATCATAGGTAGACCTCAACTATGAGAGACAAAATGAGAAAACAAATCCAGACAATAACATTGGCTGATTTGGAAATAATTTATTTGCAAATTATGGTGGAAAATAAGTATTTGGTCACCTACAAACAAGCAAGATTTCTGGCTCTCACAGACTTGTACCTTCTTCTTTAAGAGGCTCCTCTGTCCTGAACTCATTACCTGTATCAATGGCACCTGTTTGAACTTGTTATCAGTATAAAAGACACCTATCCACAACCTCAAACAGTCACACTCCAAACTCCACTTTGGTGAAGACCAAAGAGCTGTCGAAGGACACCAGAAACAAAATTGTAGACCTGCACCAGGCTGGGAAGACTGAATCTGCAATAGGCAAGCAGCTTGGTGTGAACAAATCAACTGTGGGAGCAATAATTAGAAAATGGAAGACATACAAGACCACTGATAATCTCCCTCGATCTGGGGCTCCACGCAAGATCTCACCCCGTGGGGTCAAAATGATCACAAGAACAGTGAGCAAAAATCCCAGGACCACACGAGGGGACCTAGTGAATGACCGGCAGAGAGCTGGGACCAACGTAACAAAGGCTACCATCAGTAACACACTACGCCGCCAAGGACTCAGATTCTGCAGTGCCAGACGTGTCCCCCTGCTTAAGCCAGTACATGTCCGGGCCTGTCTGAAGTTTGCTAGAGAGCATTTGGATGATCCAGAAGAGGATTGGGAGAATGTCATATGGTCAGATGAAACCAAAATAGAACTGTTTGGTAGAAACACAACTCGTCGTGTTTGGAGGAGAGAGAATGCTGAGTTGCATCCAAAGAACACCATACCTACTGTGAAGCATGGGGGTGACAACATCATGCTTTGGGGCTGTTTCTCCGCAAAGGGACCAGGACAACTGATCCATGTACAGGACAGAATGATTGGGGCCATGTATCGTGAGATTTTGAGTGCAAACCTCCTTCCATCAGCAAGGGCATTGAAGATGAAACGTGGCTGGGTCTTCCAACATGACAATGATCCCAAACATACCGCCCGGGCAACGAAGGAGTAACTTCGTAAGAAGCATTTCAAGGTCCTGGAGTGGCCTAGCCAGTCTCCAGATCTCAACCCCATAGAAAACCTTTGGAGGGAGTTGAAAGTCCGTGTTGCCCAGCGACAGCCCCAAAACATCACTGCTCTAGAGGAGATCTGCATGGAGGAACGGGCCAACATACCAGCAACAGTGTGTGCCAACCTTGTGAAGACTTACAGGAAACGTTTGACCTCTGTCATTGCCAACAAAGGATATATAACAAAGTATTGAGATGAACTTTTGATATTGACCAAATACTAATTTTCCACCATAATTTGTAAATAAATTCTTTCCAAATCAGCCAATGTGATTCTCTGGATTTTTTTTTTCTCATTTTGTCTCTCATAGTTGAGGTCTACCTATGATGCCAATTGCAGGCCTCTCTCATCTTTTTAAGTGGGAGAACTTGCACAATTGGTGGCTGACTAAATACTTTTTTGCCCCACTGTATATGATGTAGTTCGCTGGCACTTGATCACATCCTCATATTTGTGTGCAATGTAGTAACCAAGATAAGAATTTTTAGAATTGTCTCATGGACGTTCATGCAAAAACGCCCCCTAGTGACTTCAACGCAAAATCTCATCCCATTGATTTTTATGCAATGTCGAGTCCACATTGACTTCAATGCAAAAACATCCCCTAGTGAATTCAATGCAAAATTGCCAGCCACATTAATTAAATAAAAAAAAATAATTAAAAACTGTTTCGGTTTTTGGCTAAGTGCAGCCTGAATTTTTGGTTTCGCCACCAGAATTTTCATTTTGGTGCATCACTACTAAAAACAGAATATAAGAGATTTTCTATATTTACCCGAACACGGTTAATGCCTCCGTAATGTGGAACCATAGCAAGCTCCAGCTGTGGCTTTTTCTCCTCTTCATCTTCATCTTCACTATCACTGCTCTCAGAATCTGAGCCGTCTTTCTTCTCTTTGCTGGTCCGATGCAGGTTGTGCATCTTCATTACCAACAACCTGAAATTAATACATAATATTGTAAACTCCAGGTATAAAAACAGGTTTTTTGTTGCAGTAACATTTTGTTTTTCCCATCACATTCTATCCTGGTGACATTGCTCACGGAGACAAATACAGAGCAAATCTACCTAGTGACACAGACAGGTATAAAAATTTGACATGGGTTCTATCCAAAACAAAAAAGGTTTTGGTTAAATATGCACATGAAAGCCAACCTCATCCACAACAGATCTGTCAAGGTTGAGCTAGGAGCACTGTGTTGAACAACCTGTCAGTTTCATATATTGGTCAGAGATTTATTGGCAAGATTATCCAATAGCATATGTGTCTGCCCTCATGCCAGCACTGTAACTATGGTGTCACTCTTGCAGCTAGATTCCCTAATCTGCTTGTTCTATTTAATGAAGAATTCAATAGGGCAGCTTGACACTATTTTCACAACTTTTGCTTTGTAGTAGGTAACACTGAAACTGTAATTCTGTTACATTCTAACCCCTTGAAACTCCCCAAGAGATAATAGAAATCAGAGAACAATTTTACTGCAACCGCACAGTAAGACAGAAGCCATTTAACATGCTATAATATGTCAAAACCTCCAAAAAATAAAAAAGGGTATGCACTGTTTTAGTTTAGTGGATGATTCCGTTATGTTCCAGTGTACATCCAGGCCCTTAGGTTTATAGCATAGATGCTGGTGGAGATACTGGTACTTCCCCTGGCACCGAACGCTTGTTTATTGCTGGAGTGCACAGCTCAATCTGTGAGCTGCCCTCAAAACATGTAATCGCTATGATCAATCACAGCGTTTAGAGTTAGTGATCACTGTTTACTATGGATGTCTTGTTTACTACTGTGTGATATCCGTGAGTGACCACAGTAATCACATGGCACCAGAGTCGATCACAGCAGCCCTGTACCATGTAATAATTGTGACCAAAACACAGCATCACAGTCATTTTGTGGATGTTTCCACTGTCCTGGTGCTGCAGGAATTCAAAAAATGTGATAGGTGGTCAGGAAACTAGATGTGTAATTTATGCCCCTAGAACATCTGAAGGTGCTCCTTAGATTTTGGGCCCCTCTATGCATCTAGACTGAGTCTCACACACGAGACATGTGTTTCTTAATTTTCAAAAAAAAAATTGTGACAAAAAATTAAAACATCAAAATACTCATCATGCCTCCTAATAAAAACTTTGGACTGTCTAGTTTCCAAAAAGGGGTCATTTGGGGGGTATTTATATTGTCCTGGCATTTTAGGGCCTCAAGAAATGAAATACGCCATTAACACATCAAGACTGATCGATTTTCAAATATAAACACCATAGTTTGTAGACTTACTTTCACACAGACAAAATAATATACATAAAATTAACAATAAATATATTTATGAAAAAAGAATAATAATTTGCAAAATGTTACAACAGAAACTAAGAATATGGTTTTTATTTTTTTCAGTATTTTTTCATTGATATAGCAAAAAAAAAAAAAAACCCAATGGTTATTAAATATCACCGAAAAAAAGTTTTTTTTTTTTTTTTTTTGAGATAGAGCTTTTTTTCAGTGACATTTAATAACCACTGGGTTTGTTTTTGAGATAGAGAAGGTAAAAACTGTGACAACAATGAAAGTTGAAAACGGAGAAGGGGGTGAAAGTGGCTGGACTTGAAGTGGTCATAAATCATTTTTTTTTATTCATGTTTATGCTTATGGAAGGGTTTACATGCTCTTGCTATACTTTTTTTTTTCTTTCTCGCCCCTGCTGACCCATCTGTGTCTAGGTCACACTGGATGGCTTCACTTCATGTGCGCACCTGTTTAGAACTACAATCTTATGTGCAGCACATACCAAGCGCAAGAAACACAGAACCAAAGCCACACCTCTCCTCCTCCTAAGTGGTAACTGACAGCAGCTCCTGACCTTTGGTTCTGTGTCTCTCATGCTGCCTGTGTTTTCAGTGCTGGCTGTGGTTGCATGTTAGGCTGTATTTCAAAACGGGAGCACGCATGAAGTGGAAACTCCTGTGAGATTCCATTGGGCATGGCAGGCACCCACATACCAGTAGGCAGCCAGTGTGTCTGGAGCACAGTCAGAGGAGCAATCATGAAAAAGAAAAATGGAAAAAGAATAACAAAAGCATTTAAATCCTGTGATAAGCACCTAATTAAAAAAATGGGCTTTTTTAAAAATCTCTTTAAAACAGCTGCATGCAAGTTCAAATAGATGGCTCTAAATTTCAAACAAGGATAAGAAAGCAATAAATTATTGCAATACCTGTTGCTTTGGGAGGTGTCAGCCTGAGTTCCAGCACAAAGGAAAAGAGTCAGAGGGTAGTCTGAACGATTGTCTCCTAAATTATCCAGAATTACATCAAAACTTAAACATGGCGCACCTAAAAACAGGAATATTATGTTAGAATAGAAACATGGGGAGAACCATTTAACTGGGCAAAAAGTCTAAATAATATACAAAGAAATACTCCAGCCCTGGATGTTTACATAGTAGTACAGAGATAAGCAATGATGCCTTCAAAATTGGAACTCAAATAACTATCCAATCTTCCCCAGACAACCCTGTCCTCACACGTGAAGATGGAGGCTTCCATCTTCACCCAGTCTTCCTTCTGAGTTTGCGAGCTGCGGCCATCCGATTGGCCGAGCTATGATGCCATCACACCCACGCATGCACGTGGGAGTTTCAGCTGCGGCTGGGCTCTCTCATTGGACAGCACACTGTCCATTGCGAGTGCAGTGCGCATGTGCCGGTGGCATCACCAGTACTTCCACAGTATACATCTCCTAAATGGTGCACATTTAGGAGATATTTACAGTACCTACAGGTACGCCTTATTAAATGTTTACCTATAGGTATAAGATACCAAATTGGGTTTACTTCGACAATAAACTACAAATGAAAGGCAAAACATTTACATATACAAATAAATACCTTTTTCTCTCCTTTTTTTAAATTTTTTTTTTTATAACTGATCATATTCGCTCTGTTCTCAAATGCATAGAGAAGGGAGTGTGGAGAAAACAGCAGTACATTGATCTTTCCAGTGAATAGCTGTGCAGAGGGGGATCATCAGCAGAAGTTTGATCATTGGAGGAGAGCAAGCTGAGCTCCCAGCACAGCTAGAGAACTGACCACGTTGGGCTCTCTTGCCTAATGCGTTCAGTTTTTAATAGGAAAGCAGAGGAAAGGACAGGAACACCAGCGATTTCATACACAGTAAGCAATACAAAAGAGAACAGGATACTTTTTAATACAAGTACATGGTACAGCAGGCACATATCAGGAATAGGAAGTGTTGGGTTTACATATTCATTAACCACTTGCCGACCGCAGATAGCCGAATGATGGCTTCACTGTGGCCGGCCAGTTCTGGGAGGGCGTCATATGACTTCCTCCTTCACGTCCCCTGGGGGCACGCACCTGGTGATCTCCATGATTGCTGTGTGCTACGGACATAACTGATCATGTGATGTGGTGAAAGGCCAATCACAGCTGCCTTTTACCGCATGATCAGCCGTGTCCAATGACAAAACAGATCACCAGTAAATGCAGTTGCTGGATATCGGCTGCACTTTCCTCACACTGTCACAGGGGAGAGATCAGCACTGATCATCAGTGCCGCCTATCAGTGCCCATAATTGTTGCATATCAGTGCCCATCAATGCTGCCTATCAGTGCAGCATCAACGCACATCACTGAAGGAGAAAAAACTTACCTGTTTACAAAATTGTATAATAGAAACAAAGAAAAGGTTTTTGGGTTTTCTTTTAATTTTTCCTCTTTTCTGTTTATAGCGCAAAAAATAAAACACCCAGTGGTGAGTACATACCACCAAAAGAAAGCTCTATTTGTGTGAACAAAATGATACAAATGTCATATGGGTACAGTGTTGCACGACCGTGCAATTATCACTCAAATTACGACAGCCCTGAAAGCTGAAAATTGGCCTGACACAAAGGGGGTATAAGTGCCCGGTAGGCAAGTGGTTAAGCAGTACTGCACAGTTCTAGAAATTCAGACAACCCATTATAACCCATGGAGTGATGTGGGCATGCTCAGTACTGCTCAACCCAGCAGCTAAAGCTAGCCATTCATGACTCCTGCTGAATCCGCCAAAATTCGATCCGTTTGTGGCCCTGCTTAACAAACCTCAACTGAAATATTGAAGGAGCTGGGTGGAAAGTTGCAGTTACTGTTCAGGTATTCAGCAGCTGCTTGTGCAGGCTACAAGAATTTGACCCGATAGCAACCCCTTTTGGGCTACTTTCACACTGATCCATAGCAAAAACACAACATTTTTACATTTGCAATGCGTCTTTTACATGACATGCAACTGAAAAACTGCACCAAAAATGCAAGGTTGGTGCGGTTTTAATGCATTTTTGCCACACTTTCCACTGATTTCAATGGGAAGGTACCTTTATTTTTTTTACTGCACCAAACCTGCAGCAAAAACACAGCAAGCAGGATTTTAAGGAGAAGTACAGACGAAGCTCTCTTGGTTGTACTTCTGTGGATCACTTGAGTGCAGTTTGTTCTGCACTCCTGTGACCCATTTTCAGCAGATTGAAGTTCGCTGTCATCACTCAGCTGGTACAGGCAGGGTAAGATCCCGACTTCAAAGTCGGGATTCACCCCGAGTCTAGAGCGGCACCTGGCTCAGCCTCTCCGTGAAGCCTGGAACACAGCGGTGAGCACTGTAATAATGGCGACTACCACAGTGATTATAGTGGAGGGATCAGCTAGATATGACACCAATGTAACTAGACTACACAAACCACAGCTGGAGCTCAGCTGCCAAAACCGATGAACGGTGTGCTGCCCCCTGACCTGTCTGTGCCTGGTGATAGAGAGTGTAGGCATCCTGGTCCATCACCAGCTCCTCTCCCTCCTTCAGGGGCTCCACCCCGGGTAGGTACACTCTCTCGAGTCCTCCGTCCTTCTCTTCTTCCTCCTCCTCGTTCTCTTCCATAATCTCATCCTCCTCTTCCTCGCTCTCTGTCCCCTCCATGTCTTCATCTTCCTCCCGTCCAGAATCTCTCCATGTGGGTTCCCCTGTGTCCGCCATGATGGGAAAGGTAGGACGTCACTTCCTTTGGCTTCAACTAAGGGTAGTGTCCGCCGGAAGTTTTTTTTTTTGTCAATAAACTTTATCAACACGCACTCAGTTCAATGCGGTCTGCGCTAAAACTCAGCATTACCTGAGTAAAATGATTCTGAGATTGTAGTTTTCGGCTTTCTATGGGTTGTTCTTTGATTTGGGGGAGAGCTGTCAGGTCAGAATCTGCAGAGAGAAGCAGGTACAATATGAAGAACTATAACGAAGTACAAGAAGTATTGGCCAGGGCTGAGTGTTGAGAGGAATTTGAACACAGTACTTAGGCTGGCCATACACTATGCAATTTTATTACAATTTTCTGCCCAATTTCCTTCAACTATGTAGTGCAAGGTCCTGCCTAATTGAATACAAATGAAAGTGTTGTTCAGGTTTGACCTCATATGGTTTTTGGTAAATCTAAAGCAAAATGCTCAAGAAAATGGTATAATGTATGGCCAGCCTTATCAGGAATTAGGTATAGGATACTTAAAGCTGAGGTCCACCCAAAATGGGAAGTTCCGCTTTAAGGACTGGTCCCCCGCTCCCCATTAAGGATTGGCACCTTTGGGGAGCGAGTACCCGAAATTGACAGGTACCCACTCTTACTTCGTGGAAGTGGAAGGTGTCCTCCCTCCCCGTAGTCTTCTGGGACACGTGACAGGTCCCAAAACACTACGGGGCCATTCAGAAAGCCCAGCGCTACTCGCACATGTGCAGTGGAGACCCCGATGTGAAGCAGCAAGCTGTCACAGACAGGTTTTTTTTTTTTTTTTTAAGTCCGCAAACGTGCAACTATAACGAAAAAACCCGTAAGTGTTCACAAAAAAGTGCAAGTGCAAAACACCACACAAAAAAGTGTACTTAAGGGTGTGCTTTTGTCCTACCCCCGAAGGGGTTGGACCACTACCCTGATCCCCCGGGGCACGAAGCTCTTGACAGGGACAAGGTTCCCATTTGGTCCTCCTGGCCAGAAGGCCTGGTGGACCACCGTTCCTTATGCCCAGCCGAAGCCGGACATCCAGTACTAGGCCAGGGGGTTCTCCCGAAGAGAAAACCCCCTAGGGACAGGGGAGGAAGGAACCGTAGGGCCACACATCCTCCCCCTAGACTTCAGGGCAGGCTCGAGGACCCACACCCTCCATCCTGTGAGAAAAAAAACACACACAAAAGTAAAAAGTGACAAACGGGTGAGGAAAATAAATAAATAATAAATAAATCTATAAAAATAATAAAAAGTGTCGTGCCCAAATTGTGCACTGACCAGACCCTGAGGCCTGTAGCAAAGAAATTGCCCAGAACTTGACCAAAAGGCCCGGTCCTAGAGGCGCAGTGCAAAAAGTGTTTAAACTCGGTGACCATGTGCTCATTCGCAACGTGGGGTCCCACACCCAAGTGCTACTCAGAGCACCCCTGAGGCGACTACTCAGGGGGCACCGTGTATGCGGACTCTCTGCCTTCCCAGCCCCTGGCCAGACCAAGGTAGATCCGTCCAAATCAGGAGGTACTGGGTCTTTCCAGCTTTCCCAGAGGAATTACTCCCAAGGCCCCAGAACGAATCATGGCGCTCCCTGGTTTAGGTGCCCACATTGAAGATGCCGGCGCCGGAAAAAGGATGGCCAGTGAAAACAGGGGATGGCCCAGTGAAACTGTAGTAGTAACAATTTTTATTGATTTTCACATATATAAAGAACACGTTAAAAGAGACCAAAGGAGAAAGAAGGAGCACATGGATGGTGAAATCTGCATGGTTACAAACATAATAATGTCACATAGCTACAGTGGGGAGGCCATCAGAACAGTACAGTTGGAAAAAGGTGGGAGGAGGAGAAATTATCCCATGGGTGCTACACTGCCTCGAACACAGCAGTCGAGCAGGAATGTATAGCAGTCAGGTACGCCATCCGTCGTACATCAGCAATAATTGTAAACAGAGTTGACATCAAAGGAGGTATAGCGGATAGCCAACACATAGGAATGCTTCTTCTGGCCGCAGTCAAAATATGTGTGGTGAGTTTCCTGGCCATTTTGGGAAGACCTGGGAATGGCAGGCTCAATAAAAAGTATAGAGGCTCAAGTGTCTGTTTTTTAAAAGCCAGCAGCTACACTTTTTGTAGCTGCTGACTTTTATTTCTGTACATTTTCACTGGAACTCCACTTTAAAGAACCAAAATGAGAAAAAAACAAAAAAAAATTCTAACGGGCATCCCGAAGAAGAGGTTTTGTGTTTCAGTAATAAGGAAGATGATCTAATTGTACGAGAGTAGACATGCACACTGAAATTTTTTTTTCATTTAATTTGTAATGCATTCATTCATTGAAGAATTTCATGTTGTCATATTGATTATGTTGAACTGATTTGTTTTCAGAATTTGTATCATCGGCATTCGTTGGTCCATGTGGATTCGAAAAATGTTGCAGTTTTTTCATAAGATTCCTACATATTCGCTTTATCCTCTCTGATGCCCGCCTCACCACCTGCCCCCTCGACCCTATCCCCTCACAACTCCTACGACCTCCCTCCCCCTCCATCCTGCGCTCCCTCACCCACATCTTCAATCTCTCCCTCTCCTCCGGCACTTTCCCCTCCCCTCTGAAACATGCACACATCACCCCCATACTTAAAAAGCCCTCCCTGGACCCCAATGACCCGAACAACCTCAGACCCATCTCCCTGCTCCCATTTACATCTAAACTCCTCGAGCGCCTCGTCTACACCCGCCTATGCTCTCACCTCAACGACAACAACCTCCTCGATCCCCTACAGTCTGGCTTCCGTCCCCTACACTCCACTGAAACTGCCTTACTCAAACTCTCCAACGACCTGCTAACCGCCAAAGCTAATGGCCACTATTCAGTGCTCCTACTCCTTGACCTCTCTGCGGCCTTCGACACAGTCGACCACCCCCTCCTCCTCAAAAAACTACACTCCCTCGGCCTCAGAGATTCTGCTCTCTCCTGGCTCTCATCCTACCTGTCACAACGCTCTTTCAGCGTTACCTATAATGCTACCACCTCCCTCTCACTCCCCCTCTCTGTTGGGGTCCCTCAAGGCTCTGTCCTTGGGCCCCTTCTCTTCTCCATCTACACCTTCTCCCTTGGCCAACTCATACACTCTCACGGCTTCAACTACCACCTCTATGCCAAAGACACACAGATCTATCTCTCAAGCCCCCACCTCACCCCCTCGGTCTCCGCCCGAATCACACACCTGCTGAGCGACATATCAGACTGGATGTCGCTCCACTTCCTTAAACTGAACCTCTCCAAAACCGAGTTTCTTGTCTTCCCTCCAGCCCGGACACCACCCCCCATTGACTTCTCTATCACATCCAATAACGCTACCATCAAACCCGCCCCGCAGGCCAGAGTACTTGGTGTCATTCTGGACTCCAACCTATCCTTCCAACCCCAAGTCCAATCTTTAACAAACTCGTGCAGACTCCACCTCCGCAACATCGCCAAAATCCGCACGTTCCTAACTCCAGAAACCACTAAACAGCTCATCCACTCCCTCATCATATCACGACTTGACTACTGCAACTCCCTCCTCACTGGCCTGCCTCGCCGCTGGCTATCCCCGCTTCAGTCGATCCTGAATACGGCTGCCAGACTCATTCACCTTTCCAACCGCTCTGTCTCCGCCACCCCCCTCTGCCAATCCCTCCACTGGCTTCCGATTGCGCAACGGATCAAATTCAAAATCCTAACGCTGACGTACAAAGCTGTCCACCATACTGCCCCGAACTACATCACTGACCTAATATCCAAGTACCACCCAGCACGCACACTCCGCTCCTCACAAGACCTCCTTCTCTCTAGTTCCCTGGTCTCCTCCTCCCATGCCCGCCTCCAGGACTTCTCCAGGGTGTCACCCATCCTCTGGAACTCCCTGCCCCAACCCATCAGATTATCACCTACTCTCCTCTCCTTTAGGCGCACCCTGAAAACCCATCTCTTCAGGGAAGCCTACCCCACCCCCTGCTAACTTGCCGACCTCCTCCACTTTTCCTACCACTCCATCCCCCACAGCTATCTCCTCCTGTGCCACCATCCCTTCCCTCCTAGATTGTAAGCTCCAAAGAGCAGGGCCCTCGATCCCCTCATGTTTTGCATTGTATTGTTATTGTTCTGTCACATGTTCTGTCCCCCTCTGTAATGTACAGCGCTCAGCGAACTATTGGCGCTTTATAAATACTGTATAATAATAATAATATTATCTAATCTGAGAGATTCAAATTGGATGGATTCAATATTTTCAGGCGCTAGTCCAATCCACCATGAGATATGTCACAAGCTGATTGGACAATACCAACTGGCTTAATGTGCATCCGAATTACCGGATGGAACAAACTACGGATCCATTTGTTATCCAAATTATCGAACAAATTTGAAAATTGAATTAATTTCCCCATGGGCCTGAAATACTATGTGATGTCATCCAAATGAAACAAATGCATTTGTTAATTTCCTTACAACTTTGTTTCAGATTCGTTGACATTCATTGCTAAGTCCATTTGGAGATTTGTACACATCTGAATCTCCGAACGTGAAATTTTCCTCCGAAAAAATGAAATGAGATTAATGTTTTCCTGGCCAAGAGTTTTTCAGAGAAGCTCTGCTTATTCCAGTACCTGGTTCGACCTGTGTCCATGACCTATGACGACGTGTCCAGGGGTGTATTTACCACAAGGCAAACAAGGGATTTGCCTAGGGTGGCATTTTTAAGGGGGTCAGCGCTGTCCCCCCGAAAGAAGGAAAGGAAGAAGGGAAACACGCAGCACGGGGACCAGGTGGGATCTGAGAGAGGCTGTGGGCTGCTTGATGGTGTATGCAGAGCCTGACTCTAGTTCCCAGGGATGTCTGGAGCTGTGAAGGTGAGTGTCTTATCTGTTGTTGGGGTGGGGTTGCCAGTGTACGGGGGCGGTGGTAATGGAAGGCTCTCTTGGATGGGGATGGGGTGAGACTGGGGT